TTTCTTTGTGGAAAAAAAGTATTCTCGTCCCTTCGTAACGTTACGGTTGAACCACTGATGGCAGATGGACTATTCTGACGATGTCTTTCATACTTTTCTGGACCTTGACAGTGTAAGTTACTTGGCAGTCAATGGGACAGTCGCAAGCCTCCCGGGTTTCATCCAAAATATCTTAAATTGTGTTCCGAAGACGAACGAAGCTTTTACGGGTTTGGAACAACATGGGGGTAAGTGATTAATGACACAATTTTCATTTTGGAGTGGAGTATCCCTTTAATAGCACTTAATTCATTACTCCTCCATAAAGCTGAATTATCAGTCAGTTCTGTGGTGTGTGACCAGGACATCAGCAACAACAATGATCCGTCTTTAACAAGATACATAGACACTAATCTGCATGTGGACAACATTTCCACCAGTATTTAGTCTACTATTTTTATAATAATTAATATTATATTTTTAATATAAGGACAAGCATTTGAAGTTATGTTGGTGTTTTCACGTTTTCCGACCATTTATAAACAGAAAGTAGTTCAAAAGCTCTTTTGGAATATTTTTTAAAGAGACAAGATCTATGAAATATAATAGATTTGAAAAATTATTATATTAGATAAAATATGTTAAAAATTTTAGATGATATACAGTATATGATATTGAACATTGATATATAACATTCTATATAAAATTATTTTCGATTTTATATATATCATAAAAATGATTCTGTATTTTGACTGAAAATATATAATTATTTATTTATCATTATATATATAATATTTTTTATAATTTATATTATTTTTTATATTATATAAAATGTTAAATAATATAAATACACACACAGACAAACACACACGCACGCACGCACGCACACACACAAACACACACACACACACACACACACACACACACACACGCACGCACACGCACACACACACACACACACGCACACAGACACACACAACAGTGTTACTGTAGAATCATATAGACACTATTATAGATTTTATTACAATTTTGAATTTGCTTTTATTTTCATATGTTGTTTTCATTTTAAATTGTAAAATTGTAGTAATGTTTGTGTTTTTGTTATTATTAATAATTTTTCATTTAAATATGTATGTATAGTTTTTATTACTCAACTCAACTTTATTTTATACATACGAATGACTCAAAGTACTGTTTTGTACCCTGATATAAAAAATATAAAAAAAACTAAACTTATTTCATTTCAGCTAGTTGCCGAGGCATCATTTCTCATTTTCATTTAGTTTAACTTGATGTACTAAAATAAATAAAACTAATAATTTTTTTTTTATTAATAAAAAAATTAACTTATTAATAAAACTTACATTTTGAAGTTGGACTAAAGCAATGCTATAAGAGCATGAACATAATGTTAAAATAACATTACAGATATTCTAACAAACATACAAGTAAAACAAATTTATTAATAAAAATGTAACTTACTAATAAAACTTACATTTTGAAGTTGGACTAAAACAATACTATAATAGCATGAACATAACAATGTTAAAATAACATCAAAAATGCTTACAAATTAAGAAAATCATTCACAATATTCAGGCTTAATCAAAAGCCAAAGCAAATAAAAAATCTTTAGGCTAACTTTAAAAAGTAAGTTTTATTAATGTTTAATTTGTATATATTTTTAATAATAAAATTAAAATAGAAATACTTTTTATTTTAATAAAATAAAATTATTATTATAATATTTTTTTATATTTTATTTCAACAAAAAAAAAATTGCGTTTTTTTCATTAGTTTTAATTAACTATAATAACACACACAAAGTCATAATATTAGAAAATCTAGCATATTTTATAGTAATGCATCGATGAAATAAGAAATGCAATTCTTTAATGTGTATTTTGTGCAGTTTATTGATTTTCACCTATTTGTGTTGTTGTTTTTGTGTCTCAGTTTCTTGCTGGTGTTCGATTACCTGAGTATAAATCTGGCAACCATCAACTCCTGCATCAATCCCATAATCCTCTACTTCGTCAGCAAGAAGTTCAAGAACTGCTTCAGGGTACAGAGAGCTGTAATGAGTGTGATAACAGAGCGCAGTGATGCTGTGAGGATCTAATCTCTGCTGTCTCTCTCTGTCTCTGTCTCTGTCAGTCGTGTTTGTGTTGCTGGTGTTATCCGGCCGGCTCGCTCTTGAGCAGCGTCGTGCCCCTGAACGGGACCAGCTTCCAGTACAAGAGCCCTGATCAGAACGGCTTATCGGACCGGACCGCGCTGCGCAAGGACAGCTACAACTGACCTCAATCACACACACACACACCGCTTCAACCTTAACTACACAAATATGAACATATATTTATAATTGCACTATATTGCAGTGGTTAATTGTGCCTACTATTATGAAAGTGCATCTTTTTAGCATGCATCATATATTGTTATATAAATATGCATTTTAAACATGCTTTCAGATGTGATTTCGGACAGGGAATGTGCTCAGAACGTTCTGGAAAGGTTCTTAATAAACGTTATTATTAAAAAGTTAAAAACAAAGCTAAAAGTTATTCATAAATGTTCTTCCTGTAACATTAAAAGAACATTTATCTTTCTTTATTAACGTTTTCAAAATGTTTTGACGCACAATGTTTATAAATTGTTCATGGAACGTTTTTTCTGGACATTCTTCTCACGTTTTCTTAAATGTTAGGCAAACTAATAATGTTCTCGAAATGTTAACACAAAAACGTTATTTATACGTCATTCGCAAAAGTTTATTTTTTTTCTTCTGAAATGTTTTATTTGGACATTCTTCCAACGTTTTTTAAATGTTAGACAAACTAATAATGTTCACAAAACGTTACCACAAAAACGTTATTTATACGTGAATCATAAAATGTTTTTTTTCTTCTGAAATATTTTATTTGGACATTCACTTAACATTTTTCAAATGTTAGACAAACTAATAATGTTCACAAAATGTTACCACAAAAACGTTATTTATACGTCATTCATGGAACTTTTTTTTTTCTTCTGAAATGTTTTATTTGGACATTCACTTAACGTTTTTCAAATGTTAGACAAACTAATAATGTTCACAAAACGTTACCACAAAAACGTTATTTATACGTCATTCATAAAACGTTTTTTTTCTTCTGAAATGTTTTATTTGGACATTCTTCCAACGTTTTTTCAAATGTTAGACAAACTAATAACATTCTCAAAATGTTACCACAAAAACGTTATTTATACGTCATTCATGGAACATTTTTTAACTAAATGTTTTATTTGGACATTCACCTAACGGTTTTTAAATGTTAGTCAAACTAATAACATTCTCAAAATGTTAGCACAAAAAGATTCTATATACATTGTTCATTGAACGTTTTTCCTGAAATATTTTAGTTGGATGTTGATGTAATGCTTTTTTTTTTAAGTTAGACTAACTAATAATGTTCTCAAAACGTTAGCACAAAAACAATATTTATACACTGTTCATGAACCTTTTTTTCTGAAACATTTTAGTTGGACGTTCATCTAACTTTTAAATGTTAGACGAACTCGAAGTTCTCATAACGTTAGCATTTTTTTCTGAAACGTTTTAGTTGGATGTTTGTCTAACGTTTTTTAAATGTTATCTGCTTGTTTCAGAGAACATTCAAAAGTAATGTTCACATAATGTTTGCAAAATTATAAAATGCAATGTTAACTTAACATTCGCATAGCCAATGAAAAAAAAACATGAAACATGTTTAGAGAACGTTCATTATTAATTAATGGAAGCGTTAGCAAAACGTTCTTAGAACGTTAGTTTTGTTAGCTGGGTAGCCACATAATTAAGGCGCATTCACACCAAAGAAGATAACTAACTATAAAGTTTTGATAATCAAGTCCACAGCTGCATTTATAATAATAACGACAAAGAGGAACGATATCGTTGGAATCACTCTCAGAATGATTTTTTTCCCAGCTGATGAGCTTTAAAAACATTGACAGCCGATTAGAATCCACCCAAGTTGAAAGAGTTCAAGCATTTGTGCGCGCTTAAAATAAACATAACGCGCCTTTATACTTCCCCATCAACACCACGTCCCCTCTACAAAACCCCGCCCTCCAGCCATCTCAGCCAATCCGATGTCAGCAAACCTGAAAACGCAAAACGACTGACAGCCAGAGAGCATTTGTGATTGGCTAGTTTTAGAATTTTGGTTTTTAAATTTTTTTTGATTTTTTTTTTTTTACAAAAGAATACATATTATACATAAACTTTATACGTGATGGTATTTAATGACTTGTATCTTATATTTAATAGATTACACTTTCAGTAGGTTTGTAAAAGGCGTCTTTATGCATGTTTGAAGTGAGTTTGAAGTGAAGTGACCATTTTCTTCGGAACAGTGAATCGTTTTGCGAAGCGGTTCATGTGATTCAGTTTCGAAAGGCTCAGTTTCTCATGTCACTACTGTAAACAATGTACAAAATATGTTATATTTTACAACCATTTACATTGGGAACTATGTCACGAGCAGCTTGAATAGGAGAAATGGCGTTAGAGAATCGGTTTACTCACATCACTTATATCCTCAATGAACTTGTTTGCAACAGAAAGGTTAGATTAGGTTTTGCTAATCTATTTACAGCCATGTTGTTTTAGTCAGTAGCTCTGAAAACAGCTGTGAGAAGGTGCAATGAAATGTTCTTTTTGTTTAAGATGTTGTAAATAAATGTTTGATGTGTGTTTATCCAAGTCACAGTGTGTGGTCCGTTGGTTGTGAAACTCGGCTTCAGAGACAGGATTATGGTTTTATTCCCACAGAATTGACTTTCCATTAGTGGGAAGTGGTTCAAGTGGAAAGCTTTTTTACTCCCCCAGGAAATAGTTTCTATAGAATTACGAGGGCTGACATGAGATCGGTTGAATTACTGAGAATAAATCAGCCACAGTTTTATATGAATGTGCTTTGTGTTGGAAAGTACAGTGACCTTTATTAAATATAGGCCTAGTTTATTAATAAAATACTCATTTACATTAATTTGTCATATTTTGTCAGATATAATGCATTGATTACAACAATTAGACAAAAACAATTTATGCATATAAGACGACATCTAATGTTACGTTCATAACAGAAGATCACAAACGAACAGTGAAGGCTTAGCTCATGAATATTAATTACGTAATGTGACGTCCGCCCAAATAGCAAGCAACGAATCTTATGGCTATGAATATTAATTAGATTACGTCAGTCCAATGTTGAAGATGAAATCGCGAAGGTTCGGATTACGAATATTTCATTAGTGTAGGTCAGAAATTATTAGCCGCATTTCAACTGCATTTCAACTTTGCTAAGTTAAATGAATTAGCATTTTAAACGAATCGGTTGATTTAAGGATTCAACTCACTTGCTGCCACCTACTGGCGGTTGTAGTATCAAATTTTAAAAAGTAGCTCATTATTTTATTTTTGCAATCATTTAATATTTCTACATTAAAATGTTGTATTTAAACTTAACATAACTTATGCAAAATCCATCTATGGATTTTGTTTATAGTGATTTCATTTGATTGTTAATAGCCAACATTATTGTTAATAGCCACTTTTATTCAGATTGAATTTACTACATTTAAGAATCTGACATAAAAGGGCACAGATATGACAATACATTTTCATAATAATTCTCTTTGTTTTTTTCTGCCCATTGTTATTTCAGGGTTTTTTCAGAGACATCACATCCTGTTTATTGTATTACAGTGACTATTTAATATTACATCTAAACTTTGACTAGACAAGACATGTTGCATATTAATTGTATACAGTATATGAACTTGAAAGCATATTTTAGTTTTGTGTATTTTGTGTTACTCCATAATAATGTTCTAGTTGAGGGCATTTGTAGTATAGGAATGGGGCCCAAACATAACCTCAAGCCCAGGGGCCCCCGGCCCCATAAGTCCTGCCCTG